ACACACACACACACACACACACACACACACACACACACACACACACAGTTACATATACACACTCACACACATATGTAAAATTCAAAATATATTCACAGCAACCACAAAATACTTAGCAAGGGTAGAAGTGGGGAACTGTCTCAGGTGAGGGAGAGGGGGAGGTTAGGGCATAGAAGATGTCACTTGAGTTGAGCCTTGAAGAGGGGTAGAAATTCTCAAAGTTGGAGCTGAGAAGAATGAGAGGTCTAAGCACGGGGAAAAGCATGGAGACAGGAGGTAGAATGTTGTTTCTGTGCAACAGCAAACACGCCACTTTCACTGAAAGGTAGGATGGCATAAAGAGGGGTGATGGTATGCAATGATCCTGGAAGGACAGGATGGAGACAGACTGTGAAGGGCTTATGAATGCCAAACAGAGGAGTTTATATTTTGTCCTAAAGAGAATAGAGAGGGGACAGCTAGGTGGCGCGGTGGATAGGGCACCGGCCCTGAAGTCAGAAGGACCTGAGTTCAAATCCGGCCTCAGACCAAACTAGCTGTGTGACTCTAGGCAAGTCAGTTAACCCCAATTGTTTAAAAAAAAAAAGAGAGAAAGAATAGAGAACCACTGGAGGGCCACCTCCAGTCATCCTGATCCATATCTGGCCACTGAACCCAGATGGCTCCAGAGGAGAAAGTGAGGCTGGTGACTTTGCACAGCCCTGCCTCACTTAAATCCAATTCACTTGCACGTCATGGCATCACCTCCCTGACGTCATGGTCCTCTTCGAGAATGAAGGACGAACAACAGCGACAATAGAGAACCACTGAAGTTTCTTGAGCGGGGTGTACCATGATCAGACTTGTGATTTAGGAATGATTTTTCTGTGAAGGAAGGATTAAAAGGGAGAAGGAACTTGAGAGAGGGAGACCAGTGAGGAGGCCCCTGCAATAGCCTGGGTCAAAGATCATAGGAGACTTAACTAGGGGTAGGGCCAGGTGAGGAGAAAGAAGGGGATGGATGCACGAGACGCACCTGGTCTGGTGCCTCTGTATACTGACACAAAGGCAGCACTTTCTCACTGCTCTTTCATTCATTCATTCATTCATTCATTCATTCATTCATTCATTCATTCATTCAATCACTCCTAAACGCCTGGTGAACCAGGGGTTGCACTGTATTCGGTGACAGCAGACAGATCTGGCCGGCAACACCACAACTGAAGAAATCACGTTTGTGATCTGATACAGTGGCATGTGCCCTGCTGGTGTTTATTTCTTTTTTTTAAGGATGATCATAAAAAAACTTGGCAAGAAGCGTGGCTGCATAAACAGACTTTGACAGTCTGTTATCTCTGGGTTTATGGGTGTTTGGTGTGGCTAACCGTCCCTAGTTCTGTGGTACTAAACTTTTACTCCTTTTGTATGGGTTCAAAGACCATTTTCCCAGTTCCTTCTTAGGGGGATAACCCTGGGATGCAAGGTGGTTTAGTGGGGGGGGGGGGGGAGAAGAGAGAAATAAGTGGAGCATCGGGAGACCAGGTTCAAACTCCAGTCGTCACTGTGTGATCTCAAGATAAGCTCTCTGAGCCTCAGTTTTTTCATCTAGAAAATGGACTCAGGTCCCTTCCAGCTCCAACATTCTATACCTCTAAAAGGGAAGTCAGTACCTTTTATTTGACAGTTTAGGAAAATTCAAATACTAATACTCTAAGACAATACTAATACTTTCCCAAGGCAGGGATGGGATTAGGATGCCCATATTTGGTGTTTCCATTTGATGTCTGAATCAACTTGGTACAAGAGATGGTTATTAAGCACTCACTATATACACCGTGGGTAATATGAAGAAGCAAATGGGCAAGTCCTTTTACCTGCCTGCCTTAGTTTCCTCATCTGTAAAATGGGGATAATAATAATAGTGCCATAACAGAACTGTATGGAAGGGCTGGTTTGGGCCTGATTATAGAAGGGCTTGAATGTCAGGTAAATACTATCTACCAGCATGAGCCAGAATCAGCTGTGCAGTTGGGGGAGAGGAATAAGACGGGGGATTGGGGGAGGGTGCTGGGGAGAGTGAGGTCTAAATGAACCTGCAAAAGGTGGAGAAGGTGCTGTAGGAGGTGGGGTGGGGGACGCCCATGAAACATAAAAGACCCACAGTGATTTGGGGGTCTTTCCTTCATGTCTTCTGACTCGGCCTGACCAAAGGTCTTCTCTAGCATTCAAAAGGGCCTTCTGAGGGACCCTAGCTGCTGAGAAAGCTTTGAGGAAACTGAAAACCGGCTCAGTGTGGCCTGGCTATTACACTGTGGCCTGGCTATTAATAAACTCAGGCCCATGAAAACCGTTTCTGAGCTCCTCATATCTTTCAAAGGAGAAAGAAAAAAAGGAATGAAAACAGTTTTTCAAAGACTCCAAAAGCTGTGTGTGGGCTGTTCAGTGATTCCCACCTGGGTATTATACAAAACTGGGAGAACATGTTTTATTGAAATTTAATCTGAAGACTTGGGAAAGCAGACCTAGGAACCTTGGAAATGAAAACCCAGAACTTAGGTTACGGCATGGGTAAATTGCAAGAAGGACGGTGGTGTCAGTCATTTTTATGAAACCCTCATAGCTGGAGACTCCACAGTGCAGATGGAAAGGCAAGCAAATGGGGGGGGAGGCACCTGCCTTTTAGCATACCCCCCATAACAATTCATGTTGTAATGATCTTATGACTACTAACCCCTTGGGAGTTTTAACAAACTATTATTTTTGGTTTGAGGATAAGAATGATAATAGCTTGCATTTATATTTATGAAGAATTTTTAAAATATCTCATTTTATCTTCATGACAACTCTGGGTAGTAGGGGCTATTATTATAGTCATTTTTTACATGAGGAAACTGAGGCAAACAGGTTAAGTGATTTGCCCAGGGTCATACAGCTAGTAAGCATCTGAGGCCAGATTTGAACTCACACTAGACAAAACATCCTGGAGCACTGTGAGGCCATCGGGACCCGTGGGGCATTATTTCAGTAGGTTCAATTTAACGGCCGCCTTTGCTCTGTTGATTCTGAAGACGAAATATACTTGGGGAGATTGCTAGCATCTGGATCAGGTACAACTGAGATTTGGAGAAGGGATTATAAAAACTCCACAAAGAACACAAGATAAGAAATGAGCAGGAATATGCAAGCACAGCAGAAAGACATCTCAGAGATCGTGGAAAACTACTGGCAGAATAGAGGTTGCTACCTGTCCAGTTTAAGGCTGTTCCTGATACTCCTTACATTCTAGCCACACACTTTATGTTAATAACAACAACAACTATAATAATAGTTGCCATTTATACAGGGTTTGCAAAACACTTTACACATATTTCAATCGAGCCTCATAACAACTCTGTGAGGAAGGTGCTATTATTATCCCCATTTTACAGAGGAGAAAACTGAGGCTGCAAAGAGGTTAGGTGGCTTGCCTAGGACTCATGCAACTAGTAAGTTCATCTGAGATGGAATTTGAACTAAGGTTTTCCCTACTCAAATTCTAGTGATCTATCCGCTGTACTACCTGGCAGCCTGTTAACATGTCAATAGGATGGTGAAAGAGGATAGAGGGATATAAAGAGACATAAAGAGAGACAGACAGACAGACAGACAGACAAGAAATAGAGACACAGAGAAAGAGAGAGGGAAAGAGAAGGAAGAAGAGAGACAGAGAGAGACACAGACACACACACATACACACACACACAGAAACAGAGACAGACAGAGACAGAGAAGGGGGGAGGGAGAAGGAAGAAGAAGAAGAGAGAGAGCGAAACAGAGACAAAGAGATAGAAACAGAGAAAGAGAGAGGGAAAGAGAAGGAAGAAAGAGAAACATTAATCTGTAAGAAAAATTAACAAAGAGTCAAAATGCTCAAGTCCTGACTCATGACATACTGTGAGACTTTGGGCAAAGCCCTTCTTTTGGGAACAGCATCTAAATGACCCTTATTTTTCTTACATTGATGGAACTGTTCCCATGCAAAACCAGGCTACTCTCACATGTATATTCTAGATAACAGCTAGCACACTGTGAGTGCTCATTCAATATTTAACAACATGAGAAGGAGATTAATTTAAAAAGAAAGAAAGAAAGGGTCACTCTTTGGTATATCACCAGGACATTAAATGGTCATACCCACATGCCCCCTAAAGCTAAAGCATATCATGCAGTGGGAGACCACAAAGATGGGCAGGATAACTAAGATAAAAGCAAGGAGGGGCAAGTAATTGACCTGAGCATAGCCCTTAAAAGGAAACAGAGGGTGCCTCCCAACCTAGAAGCGGTTTCCTGCCTGTCTCCTGTAGCAAAAAGTCTATAGTTTTGGGGAAGGGAAGTATGCAAAGGTCGGAGCTGAAGTTAGTATAGACACAGAGTATAAGAGTTGACATTTAGAGAGGGCTTTGGGGGCAGCTACATGGCGCAGTGGATAGAACACCGGCCCTGGATTTAGGACGACCTAAGTTCAAATTCGGCCTCAAACACATAACACTTATTAGCCGTATGACCCTAGGCAAGTCACTTAACCCCATTGCCTGGTCCAGGAAAAAAAAAAAACAGAAAAGGCTTTAAGTGTATGTATGTATATACATATACATACACACACACACAAATATGTGTACACACAAACACACACATTTTTTCATTTGATTCCCACAACAACTTTGTAAGCTAGGTGTTACATATATTATTATGTTCATTTTACAGGTGAGAACAAACAGCTTCAAAGAGGTTAAATGCCTGGGCCATAGTCCCATGACTAGTAAGCATCATGTGTGGTTTGAATCCAGAACTCCAAGACAACTCTCTTTATTCACCATGCTGCTTACATAAATGGACACTTGTAGGTCAGTCCCAAGAGGGAGATGGAAAAAAGAAGTCGGAATTTAGCCAGGGCACAGGAATAGCTAGTGACTAACACCTGGGAAAGAGCATTAATCTAGCAGTCCAATATTCTTCCCCAACCTGCATCATGATCATTGGGATTATCATTATCAAACCAATGTCAGGCTGGTGCTTCTCTCCCTCAGGTAGCTAGCTCCTCTGAACCTTAGGCCACCCCACAAAGCACGCATGTAGTTCAAAAGAATGTGCCGACACTTACGTGGCCCGCCAGGTTGAAATACGAGTGGTTGGTCAGACTGACCGGTGTGGTGCTGCTGGTCTGGGCTTTGTAATTCACTATTAACTGTCCCCCATCGAGCGTATACGTGACCCAAACTTTCAGCTCGCCAGGGTAGCCTTCCTCTCCATCTGGACTGATCCGGGAGAACTGAACACCATTTGGTAGCACTTGAGGGGTCCAAAGGACCTGGCGGAAGATATTATTAGAATAAACCAAAACACAAAGTAAATATCCCATGCAAAACATTCAAGGAAATCTAACCTTGGGAGTATAAAAATGATTACACCAACTCTCTTAAATTTTTTTGAGAACAGTGCTTAATTTTTAATCTCTGTAGTTTATTTAATATGGAAAAATTACGAAAAAATAAGACTATTTCTCTTTTTTTTCCTCCCTGTGTATATAACATACTATTTCTTTTTTCCCTTCTGAACTCTTGATTTAAAAAAAAAATTGTCAGCTTTGCTATTTTTCTCCTAGTGCCTTGCTCACATTCTGGCCCAATCCTGAAATAATTGCTTTAACAAATGGTGACTGGAAACTGGTATGGCTATCTTGGGCTTCAGTTTAAAAAAATTAATCCTTTTCTGGGATCCTCCACCAACAGGAGCAGAAAATGAAATCAGGGCCTGTTACATTTTAGAATTGGGAACCTCTCTGGGTTTCAGTTTCCTTATCTATAAAATGACAGAGTGGAGCCAGACAAGAAAACTCCTAATCCAGCTGTAAATCGCATTCTATGGAAACAGTCTTTCTGCAGCTTCCACAGCTTGCTCTGTGTTCTGCCTTCTAGGACCAAGAACCAGAAATCAAATTCTTCTTCCTCAGAGCCACTCTTTAAATACTGGAAGACAATTATCATGTTTGCCCTAAGCCCCAGTCGCCTCTTCTCCAGGTGACTGACTCTGAAGTCAGGGGACCTGTGTTCAAATTCCTCCTTGGCCACTTATTACTTGTGTGACCTTGGGCGAGTACATTAAATCTCTCTGGGCCTCATTTTCTTCATCTGTAAAATAGGAAGAGGAGAGTGGGGAAGGCTAGATAAGGTGGCCTCTAGATTGATGTGCTGGAAAATGTTTAACAACCAGCTCTCTATTATCTTTTTAAAAAGAAAGAAAATGTATGTAAGGCACACTTTAAAGTTTGACCTCTCTTATTTGCATTTTCTCTATTGCTTTCTTAAGTCTAGACAATCAACAAAATAAATCAAGTCCTGATTTGTAGTGCTTGCAGCTATGGGAGGTGTAAATGCTCAAACTGAAAATTTAACAATCTGCAGAGCTGGATAGAGCTGGCCCCAGCACACCCTGCCCTGGAATCTTCTTCGTTCATTTAATCAAATCCTCATATAGCATGAATCACAAAGCCCTTCACTATCCTGGCTGCCCTCCTCTGGATGCTCTTCAGCTCATCCATGTCCTTCCAAAAACAGAGCATTCAGAACTGAACATAAGACTCCTTCTGTAGCCTGCCAAAGATAGAGAGAGGTGGCTAGGTAGCTCAGTGGGTGAGACTAAACAGTAGACCTCAGAAAGACCTGAGTTCAAATCCAGTCTTAGACTTATCAGCTAGCTGTGTGACCTTGGGTAAGTGGATCAAATGACATAATAAACTGTAAAGCACTTAGCACAGTGCCTGGCACACAGTAGGTGCTATATAATGCCGGCTACTCATATTATTATCCTTGGAGTATAACAGGACTGTTGCCACCACTGTCTAGAATGTTAATTCAGTCTCAGATCTCATTAATTTGCTTGGCTCTCACATCACATCGCTGATTCAGGCTGAGATTGCAGTTGATTTAAAATACCTACACCTTTTTTTCAGATCAACTGCTGTCTAGCCACAGCTCCTCCATCTTATACCTGTGGGATGGATTGGTTCTAGGGCCCGATTCTGTTATGTCACAAGATTTTAGAACACAAGAATACTGGAAAAAGATTCATGTCCTCAACCACAGGAAAAACAGCTGAAATTTGGAATTAAGTCACAGGCTTTAGTGAAATCAATCTCATATCCCATCATTAAGTGGAAACTCTGAACTTTAAATAAATTTAAAATACAAGCTCTAACTTAAACATGTGAAGACTAGGGAAAATAACAGCAACAGCAACAACATAACTATATCACATAATTAAAATAAGCAATTACATATTGTATAATTATATAATGTAAATTACATAAGTATATCATTATTTAAATGCTTTCATATTTCCCCCAAATACTCATTTTATGTCTATATGTGTTTTTCACACACTTTTAGATTATGATGACTTTTTAAAGAATGGTAAGTAAAATGTTTAGGGTAAGATGTTCATGTATGGGTACCTAGCCTTTACTTCCTCCAGGAAATAATTTCTAAAAACAAAGAAGGGAGTTTTGTTTTTTTCTGGAAAAAAAAAATGTTAGCTTCTCTACATCACAAAACTATTACAATTGCTGTGTATTATTAATCGTGTTGTCTCTATCTTGGCTGCAAAAACTTCCAGGACATTTCTATGCCCAGGTCTACATTCAGCATTTCTGATTCTGATAGGACTGTGAGAAGAACTGGTCTTTTATCAATGTCACAAATACAAAGATGGCCTCAGAAATGAGCACCCAAGTACCAGTATCCTCTGATTTTTAAATAATCATGAGTAGATGGATGATAGTGTCACCTGAGCAACAAATTATGAAAACTGAGAATGCATGAACAGAGCTCAGTGCAGAAATCCAGTATGCATTTGTAATAAAGTAATCTGACCCATAATTAATGGGATGCATAATCATCACTGTGGCGCATGGCAACTAAGCATAAATGATAAGCAGGCCACACAAATGACTGTAATATTACTTTTCCACAGACCAACTAAACATTTGAGACAGTCAGCTGAGGGAGAGGAATGAACCGGGTGTTTGAGAATCCTGTTGATAGATCCATCGTCCCTCAGGCATTAGGAGCCAGCCAGAAGAGGCTGGGCACTGAGGTACCCAGTGTCCAGGTTTAGGGTAGGGCAGCCTTTTCCACTCTGCAGTGGGATTTGCCTTGCCCACTGAGGAAGGAAGGAATGTCAGGGAAGGCAACTTGAATCTCACGAACAGATGAAGCAGCTGGTAGAAGTGGGTCAAGCAGAGCAATTATTAATATTTCTTTTCAGCTCTGTAAAGGGTTAATGGAAAGGAAGGTTCACGGTTCCTAGAATTTTCAAATTCTTCATTCCTTTTCTATTTCCTAGGTTGGGCTTCATGTGTGGGAGTAAATGGAATGCTGTGGTTATAGGAAAAACTATCCATTCCTTCCCACCACATTACTGAAATTTTTACCAATTTTGGTTCATAGGATTATGGAACTGGAAGGAATTATATTTTGTTCATAGATTATATTATAATAACCACATATCCTATTTTGTTCACAGATATAGAACTGGAAGAGATCTCAGTAATTATTTTTTATTTTACAGATGGGGAAACTGAGGCCTAGACTAGTGAAGTGACTTGTCTAAGGTCACACAGGAAGTAAGTGGTAATAAGATTCAAACTCAGGTTCTCTGGCTCTAAATCCAGTGGCCTTTATATTGCCCTAGCTTGTGGGAAGGTGAAGGTCAGGCTATCATTCATACCTTAACATGAAATCATTTGATCAGACTGCTTTTCAAATGCCTGGCTGAAACTCACTGAGAAAACAGCAAATTTTAAGAGAAGTTACAGTTGATTTGCAACATAGGATAGTTAAGGGCAGGCAGGCCTATGAAGTTAGGGTAAGGTTTTCATGTATGGGTACCCAGTTTTTATTCCCTCCATCAAATAATTTCTAAAACCAAAGAAGAGAAAGAGTTTTGGTGGTTGTTTTTTTTCTGGAAAAAAAAATGTCGGCTTCTCTACATTACCAGGTTATTACAACTGCTGTGTATTACTGATTTTGTTCTATCATCTACAAACATTTCCAGGACATTTATATGGAAGTTAGGGGGAGAGTAAGAGCTCAAAGATTTCATTTACTTTGCAATTTTGCCTATGATCAACTCTCCCTTTTATCCTCCTAAAAAGACACAGCAGCTACATAGTGCAGTGAATAGAGAGGGGACTGCCTAGGATCACATAGTTAGTAAGTGTCTGAGGCTGGGTTTGAACCCAAGTCTTCCTGATTTCAGGTCTACCTCTCATTCTATCTACACCTCAGGCTTCTCATCCATAAATCGGGGATAATAATAGCATAGCATTCCCTCTGAGGGTTGTTTTGAGGATCAAATGAGATAATATTTGAAAGTACTTTGCAAACCTTAAGGCACTATATAAATGCTAGTTATTATTATATCCAACTTCTTCCTTTGACCAGCAGACAAATCCTATCCTTGCACCCTTGTGACCAAGAGAGTAGTTTTCTTCCTCCTCCTTCCCTTATACTGTTCATCTTGTGCAGTGAGCTGGCTTTCTGCTAAGATGTGTAAGTCTAGGATTGTGTAGAGTGAACAGAAGACATGGAGAAAGGGAAGAGGACTGATAACAATGAGTACAGTGAGCCACAAACATAGTTTAGTGAGAACTCTATCAAGTGTCTTCAAGTTTACCTTGTCAAAGCCTTTCAGTCCTCCATGTAGACTATTAGGTCCATTGTTAATGGCCAACTTGTATTCTTTCCCCTCCATGGTGAAGGTCCCTTTGGCAATTCGGTTGGCCACTCGTCCAACTACTGCTCCGAAGTATGGATGCTTCTTGAGATACCCTACAAAACAAATAAGATCATTCCTTTAATTTGCTAAACAAGAGGAAGGGTAATAATTCTTTCTACTACTGATTTTTGAAGGATACCATAAGGCTTATATCGTACATTGTCAAAGACTCTACTCATCGTGTAAACATTGGTTAGTGTATTTTTCATGATGGTAACAACAACAATTAAGTATTTTGCAACTTTGCAAAGTAACCTTCAAGCTAAAATGTTTCTATTCCTTGTAGCATAATCCAATGAGAGGCAACCAGTGGCTCAGCAGACCCCATCTGTCAGTAACTGTGCACGTGGTTAATTCGGGTTTGGTGAATTGAACTTTTTCTGTCTCCCTTCATACCTTTGGTATCAGTTCCTTATTAGCCATTTTTATCACATCTTTTCAAATCCAAAGATCATTCTCCTTTGCAATGAAAAAGAGATTCAGATTAAGAGTTGAAAAGCTCTGCTTTTTTTCTGGCATCAGCATCTTTTATCACTGTTACATCCCTGCCAAGCTGCTGTCCTAACCTTGCTTTGAACATCCTTTGTTTGAACAAATTCATTAAGTGCCCACTCTATGTGAGCAGTGTGAGCATACTCTGCTCACACGGAACCTGCCATCTAACTGGGGCAAAGATGAATACTGCTCACTTCTGCAGATGCGTGTGGGCACAAATGATATCGTCAGAACTAGTCAAATAAGTAAGCATTATCAAGGCTTATTAAGTCTGAGGCAAGAAAATGAAGACCATCAACACACAGATTGTGTTTTCATCATTGCTTCTCATAAAATTCAAGGACTTCAGGAGGGAGATCTGAGAAGTGAGAAAAGGGCTTTTTAAAAAATGAGGTATGAGAATATAATTTGGATTTCTAGACCCTAGCTTAAAATATAGGGAAGACCAGAAACCTGGCCAGAGACGAAGTGCACCTAAAAAGGGCTGGTAAAAGTATATTTGCTGAGAGTCTTGAAACTATAATCATAAAAAAAATTTCAAATAGGCAGTGAAGAGAGAGAAAATTGTTAATGTATATTAATGGAATGAGATACCAAAGAGCAGCTACAACATGGAAGGAAGATTAGCTGTTAGGTCCTCTAGAAATTCACAGGAGACCAAATCTAGAATCACTAATAAAACCCTTGGCCTCAGATATTCTAGACACACATGCACAAAATACGAATAACAAAAGCAAAGTAACTTAGAAAGAAGATAAATTGGACACAGGTATTTTTGTGTTATATTTTGACTCCAAAGATCAACTTAGATTTTTAAAAGATGTATACAGAAGATGGAGGCAAGGGCAGGTAATGGCAGATGAATATGTAAGTGTGGTACAATCTGGTAAAAAATGGTGTCAGGAGTCCTAAAGCTCAAATTGGGATTAGCACAGTACCTGGTACATATTTAGATACTTAATAAATGTTTATTGATTGATTATTGAAATTGAGCTGAAGAAAGCTAACAAAAGGGGGTTTGGGTGGTTTATTTGAACAGTAATAGGGGGAAAAAAAACAAAGGATATTCAAAGCAAGGTTAGGACAGCAACTTGGCAGGGATGTAACGATGATAAAAGATGCTGATGCCAGAAAAAAAGCAGAGCTTTTCAACTCTTAATCTGATTCTCTTTTTCATTGCAAAGGAGAATGATCTTTGGATTTGAAGAGATGTAATAAAAATGGCTAATAAGGAACTGACACTGAAGATATGAAGGGAGATGGAAAAAGTTCAATTCACCAGACCCAAATTAACCACATCCACAGGTACAGACAGATAGGGTCTGCTGAGCTACTCACTGTCAGGGACCCTTGAGAGGTCATGGTTAATGGGAGACAATACAGAAGTGAAAAAGGACAATTTAAATAGATTTTCCAAAAAGGGAAAATGAGTAGAGTTTGCAGACTGTTAGCTAGTGAGATTGACTTTCATTCCTGAAAAAATTGTGCAATGTATGATCAGAAGGATGATTAGTACACCTCTAGAAAAGGAAGCTGTAATCACAAAGAATCTGCATGGGTTCATCAAGAACAAGTCATATACCAAAAGAATTTTTTTTTTTTGCAAGGAAGGCATGCTGGTAGATCAGGAAAATACAATAGATTGATAAACTTTACCAAGAAGTCACTTTCCTAGGGTAACATGGGTAGGAAGTAGCAAGAGCTGAGATTCAAACCCAAGCCTTCTGACTCCCATCTCTAACACCATAGTGGTCTCCCAAAATACAATAACATATTTATGTCATACTTCAAGTTTGGAAAGTGCTTTCCTCACAACCTCCTGAGAAGTAAAAAGTTCAGTTATGCTCATTTTACAGATGAGGTAACTGAATGTCAGTTGTTATTTAGTCTTTTTTCAGTTGTGTCCAACTCTTCATGACCCCATTGGGGGTCTTCTTGGCAAAGATACTGCAGTGGTTTGCCATTTCCTCCTCCGGCTCATTTTACAGTTGAGGAAACTGAGGCTTAAGTGAATTAATTCTGTTCAACAGGGTTAAGTGACTTGTCCAAGGTCACATAGCTAGTAAGTTTCTGAGATGGGATCTGAAGTCAGGAAGAAGTCTTCCTGACTCCAGGCCTGTCACTCTATCCACTTCATCACCTAGCTGTCTCTACCTTTTATTTATTGGCAGCTAGATGGTACAGTGGATGGAGTACTAGACTTGGGGTCAGGAACATCTGAATTACAATCCTGACTCAGACACTTAACTACTTGTGTAACCTAGGTAAGTAACTGGACCTCTTAGACTAATTTTCCTCATCTGTAAAATGGGGATAATGTTAGCACCTATCTTAGGGTTCTCTATGAGAACTGAGACAACACATGTAAAAGCTCTTTTAAACCTTAAAGAACAATATAAATGATAGCTTTTGCTTTGTATATATACCTATTCAGGGTATCCCAAAAACCTTAATGTAGTTTTAAGCTATACATCCATACAGGGTATCCCAAAAGCTAGATACCCCATTTAGACGCACAGCCTAAGACTTTTGGAATGTCCTGTATATATACGTGCTATCTCCCTTGATAGACTGTCAGCTCCTTAAGGGCAGGGACTTTTGTCTTGTATTCCCGATGCTTAGCACAGTAGCTGGTACATAGTAGGTGCTTAACGCTGGCAGGATTAGGTGTGCCAATTGATGCAAAAATATTAGAATTTTACCTTGAAATAAAAGTGTTATCCTACTATCTCTATTTACTTTTCCTTGTGGGTAAAAAAAAAAAATGGCAGTGTTAGGTGACAGTTTGGCTCTTTAAGGTGGTCTTAAAACCCAGTACTGTAGGGGCAGCTAGGTGGTATGGTGGATAGCGCACCGGAGTCAGGTGTCAGAAGGACCTAAGTTCAAATCTGGTCTCAGACCAGACACTTGACACTTACTAGCTGGGTGACTCTGGGCAAGTCACTTAACTACAATTGCCTTGCCAAAAAAACAAAACAAAAACAAAACAAAAACAAAAAAAACCAGTACTGTTGTTGATCAAATGACTGATAGAAGTAACTTGCCATGGCTGCAAATTGTTAAGTGGGAGAGCCAAGACTGAAAATCGAGTTTCTCACCCCAAACTCTTGTGCTCTTTCTACCACTCTCCTGACTTCTCAAAGTAGTAGGCCCTCCCCTAGATACTTCTCCAAAGGAAGAGCATTTGCTCCAGAATGAAAAGATATTTGAAATATGATGGGGTGTTAACCTGCTCCTTTTAAACTCTGATCACAGGCACATTATTTTTGATGATATGGCAGGCCAACCTGCCTTACCTTGGTTTATCTTTTATACTTTCCCCTGTTTTCTTAAATACAAAAGTACGTGGGGGAAAAAATTGTTTTAAAAGAGGCATCACTACCTGTTTCTGACACCTCTCTTGAAAGGAATTTTATTCTTTAGATGTGACTATTTCATCTGAAAAAGGAGAAAAAAAAGTAATAATACGTTGCCTGTCTAGTAGAAAGAGCAGTCCTTGGGATGAAGTCAGGAGACAGATGGGTTCAAGTTTTCCATCACTCACTAGTCATTCAAATTGGGGCAATCCATTTAACTTCTCTGGGGCTCAGTTCCAGAAAGGATTGATGTAAAATACAATGAAGGCTGGAATAGGTATTAAGAGTGGTATTCAACCCACGATTCCAATCCTCACTAGTTCTAGTATGACCCTGGGCAATGATTTCATTTTTCTAGGTCCTGCTTTCATAAATGAGGCTAATATTATCCATACTACCTAAACCATCAATCTCTATAGAAAAGTGAACTATTATTGTTATCTGCAAAAAAAAAAACAAAACCAAGAATGCTGGGCCTAGATGATCTCCTAGGTCTTGTTTAGCTTTAACATTCTTTGACTCTGGAGGGCTTCTCCTGGCTGGGGGGAGAAAGGGAAAGGGAGACAACAGAGCTGAATCACGTCCAAGATTAACATTCAATCACTTATCAAAAAACCTACAAGCATTTATTAATCACCTACTATGTGTTAGATCCCAGAAATACAAACACAAAAAACGGAAGTTCCTTCTCTAGAGTGCTTAAAACCATTCAGTCAGAGAAAAAACATAACTAGAGTGGGTGTGGTTGGCATATGGTTCAATCTAATACCAAAGTTGGGCAAAAGTCAAAGACTGCAAAAAAGTGACCAATCCAGAGGGGTGGGCAGTAGGCAGACTGCCCCAGCAAAAACAGGGGAGGAGGTGAAGGTCTGCGAAGCTGGGTAAGTTCCTTTAAACACCTGGAGGAGGCGATGTGAACCAGCTAGGGTCTCATGCCAGTTATCAATGGGAGACAGTAACCTTTTCCCCAACAGGTGCTGGCTATCCTTACTCTATCCATCGCTAGTCATTCTCACCTAGGCAATTCACATTACTTCTCTCAGTTCCTGAGAAGATTGCTGTATAGTACAACAAGGGCCAGATCTAGTATTCCATCCATGACTCCAATCCTTACCAGTTCTAGTGGGACCCTGGGCAATGATTTCATCTTTCCAGGCTTTACTTTACTCTTCTACAAGGTGAAAATAAATGAGGATAATAATAACCATACCACCAGAACCATAAATCTCTATATTTTATTCAGCTGTGACACCCTTCCCCCAAGCAGCTGAGAGTCCTGACAGTCTATATACTTAGGACATATTTCACATATAAAACAGCTGCCATCCCCTTCATCTGCATGAGTTCTACTGAGTTCAGTCTGGTCATTAAAAACCAACTGCTCCCAATTTCCTCTGTGAAAATCCCTTCACAGACCAGTCTGAACAAAGGGGATTTGCACTACAATGAAATATGTGGCGAACATGACACGTTAAGTAAGAAACCCAAGTACTGTGAGTACCTGGGACTTGTTTATGTGGCCTATGAGAAACCATGATGGTGATGGAGAGGGGAGCCAGTTTTCAAAATGTAAAAAGCAGCAAAATTATTTCACATAAGACTTTGCTGACATTTTTCTGGGCTGTAACTAAAAGAACATTTGGATTACCTCCTCAGCATGCTATAGAGGACAGATCTCATTTTCCCAGAGACATCTGAAACAGTCTGACCTCATCTGTCACCTCAAGACATCTGAGCAGCTTATTTCATCTATCTGTGAAATTGGGAGATAGCTCACATTCAGTATAAAGCGGCTGTGAGTCAGGAGATTAGACGTTCTCAGCTGTTCCCTATAGTGCACAAAGGCAATCTTGAAGATTTTTATTATCTCAAGATAACCATTTCCTCCTCTGTCAAGTCTTTACTACTGAAACTTGCTTACTATAGGTTATTAATAAACTAGAATTCAGCAATAGAACAGCAGAGTTCATTAATGCAATTCCTGTTAACAGCTGGCCACGGTGGCTATTACCAAGAATTAGCCAGCCCCTACTATTTCAGCCAAGACTGAATAGAAAGATCACATCTTAAAGAGAAACAACAATCCACTTACAATCCATGAGGGGTGCTGAATGTGTCTGTTAGAGAATTGATATTCAGGGCTTGGTTTTCAAATTCCACCCCTTTAAAAATAGTTCCCCTCCTCCCACCTCCCCCCTTCACTATCAGCCTTTCAGGAAAAAGGAAATTAAATTACTATACTATATTAAAGTATACAGTTTAATATTTTTAAAGCCATGTCAATACCAACCCAGCACCTAGATAAATATTTTAAATACCATGACTCAATACTGAACAATTGTCTCTAGAGGAAAAGTTTTATCACTGATTTTCCCCATGAACTCTCAGAATGGAAAGTTTCCACAGACTACTAGGTCTGGTCTATTACAATGTAGAAGCCTGGTGTAACTCCTTTTTCCTTCTTATATAATTTCCAGTAATCTTTTCTTCTATTGAGATCCCCAAGGGTCAGCAGGATAACAAGGGATGCTAACCACAGGATGTTAAAGAGCTGGGAGAGACCTCCAGTATCATCTGGGTTCTATCCCCTTGGTTTTGACTGATTAGGAAGTTGTGACTCCAAGAAGGTGACTTGCTTTCAGCTACCCTCCCCGCCCCCCCCCCCCACATAAGCCCATTATGCATGTCCAAGACACTTTTTGGCTTTGAGTTACACATGGCTCAAATTACACAAACACATGGAAGCTAAGTGTCACAGTGGATAAAGTGCTCCACTTTGGAACAAGATACGAATTAAATCCAGCCTCAGACACTTAACTGGCTGTGCAAACTTGGGCAAGTCATTTGACTTTTTTTCTGCTTCAGTTTCCCCATCTGTAAAATAGGGATAATACTAGCACCTATCTTCCCAGGGTTGAAATAATATTTGTAAAGCACTCAGCAAACCTGAAAGTGCTAAAATAATCAAATAATTAGGCAATTAGGAAATTAGGCAATGGTGAGAATGGGATATATAAACCATAACATGCAACCATATTCAAATCAGTTAATGGTGTACAACAGAAATAATGGTAGAGAAAAGCACCTCTCTTTGTATCACTGGAGTCTGGAAACGTCTTCTGACTCCATCAGCTGTGTTTTGCACTAGTCACTTAACCTTTTTGTGGTTAAGAAGGTGACCCAGTTTGCAAACTGTTGGTCATACTAGGGATTGGAGAGTGATAGGGAGGGGGAGAGGGACAGGGGGAGCGGAAGGGAGAGGAAAAAGGAGGAAGAGAGGGAGGAAGGCAGAGAAGGAGAGGAGAGGGAGAGATGGAGAGGGAGAGAAAGGGAGGTAGAGAGAGAGAAAGGGGAGGGGGAGGGAGAGAGAAAGAGAGAGAGAAAGAGATTTGCAAAATGTCTTCAAGCCCTTGGGTAAAAAGTATTTTAAAAATCATCTTGAGTCTATTTTCTGCTTCTGTAGGAAGCAAAACCCAATCAATTAACAGATCTTCCCTAACCCCACCCCCACTACTCACTAGAACCCTTGGGGAAAACCCAGGGGTTAGGTGGGGGTAAGGGGAAGATTTTCCCACCTCTGTACATTTTCCTCCCAGGGAATAAAATGACTAAATGCAGTAATTCATGATAAAGGAATTTACCTCTTTTAAAAAATAAGCCAGCACAACAGCAAACCATGGAACATAACAGGAGGCAGGGGAAAACCACAGAGTATAGGGTATTAGTTTCACAAGAGATTTAAAGGCACCATCAATATTTTTGGCTTCTGAATTTAGGAAGGGACTGGGAAGTTTGTTGAGGGATTATATATCTAGAGTAGCTCTAGGCTACGTCTTTTAGCTGTCCCAGAGCAGAGGCAGAGACGTTTGATGCCACGCCCAACCAAGGTCACACAAGTAATAAGCATCAGAGGAAGGATTTGAGGAAACCCCAAACGAGGTGGTGATTTACAACCCAACAACAACTTAAGATTCCAGAGCCTCTTTCCATCGAACTATTAAGAGCTTTTTATAATAACAGTAATAGTAATCATTGCTAACATTTACATATCACTTCCTGTGTGGAAAGTGCTTTCCAATTATTATCTCATTTGATCCTCATATCTGAGAGGTAGGTGCTATTATTATACCCATTTTATAGATAACCAAACTAAGGCATACACAAGTTGAGTGACTTGCACAGGGTCACACAGCTAGTAAAGTAACTGAGGTCATTTTTTGAACTCAGATCTTACCAATAATCAGACCTTTACTTTTTCTGGGGGACTGGAATGGAGAGAAAGTTCTTAAGTTAAAAGAAAATCCATACAAACAGGCTTTAAAAAAGATAAATCTCAAACCTGGTGGATGGCTTATGTCCCATAACCCACTGAGAAAGCTGAATTCATCCATTCTCAAGAGTCTCTCCTCTCCCCCAATGCACTTTGTCCTGTTAACCCGCTACCTATCCCCCCCCCCTTCAACTGGCTTCTTAGAACACAATGCAAAAGAGATTTCCAAAGGAAAAAAAAGTGGCAGTCTAACTCAAGTGCCAGAGTTCCAGCCAAGATGGTACTTTGCAGTCATGGGCTAGGAGGCCACTAGAATAAATTATCTGGGATGCCCAGTTCTTGCAGAAATACTAGTAAAGGAAAAAAAAAAAAGCTTGGAATCAGAAGGACCTGAGTTTAAATCCTGCTTCAGACACTTGACACTTACTGCCTGTGTGACTCTGAGCAAATTATTTAACCCCAACTGCCTCACCAAAAAGCAAAAAAAAGAAAAGAATAAAAAAAACCCAGCATTTTTTCTCTTGTGCATGAGGGAACCACAATCTCCCTAAGCTAGTTTCTCCTAGCCAGTGTCCCTTCCAGGGTAGAACTTTCTCTCAGTGTTAAAAACAGTTCAAAGACCACTTTCATGTTAGTTTTTGTTGTTGTCTTTTTTTTTTTTAATGTCCAACTCACCTTCAATGGACTCTGGACCAGTTAAGTGAGCTGAATGGTTAACTAAAAAGCTAAACCCATATTCATGTTCCTCTAGCAACCCAAGCCCAGAGAAATTCCCATTTGTTAGCCAAATGTACCTAAGATTAGGCTGAATCTCCACACCCAGAGTAAAGGGATGGAAACGGCCCTGAATCTTTCCCACAAGGGGTAGTGGTCAAAATAGGGACTTGGAGGTCAAGAAACCTTAGGTTCCATTCCTACTCCCAACACTTACTGGCCGTGTGACCCTGGACTAATCCTTTGAACGCTTTAGGCCTGTTTCCTCGTCTGTACTGATACAAGAGGCGGGGAGGAGGGAAAGGTGGACTTCAGGGGCTCTGGGGTCCCTTCCAGCTCTCTCATCTCTGACTCTATGCTACGCCAGTGCAGTTAGACCCACCTTCCAGCTCGGCAAAGCCCAGCACCACATCTGAGAATTTCCCATCCCTGTCTTTCACCTCCAGTGCGGTGATAGTGCAGCCCAGGGAGATAATCTCCACTCTCAGCTGGTCTGACTGCAGATGGAACTTCTCTACAATCCCTGCTCCACCGGGGAGGTCCCCAAACACACTTCTGGTCACCGAAGCCATGGGCGAAAAGGAAAGGAAAACAACCAGCCAGCTCACTCCACCGAGCTGCAGCACAGGTACCGGGCACACCTAGGAGCAGAAACCACACACCGGGAGGGCGGGGCCGAGGTTACTTTATAAAAGAGAGGCTAAACTCCTCCTCCCGCCCGCCCTATCTCCGGGACAGCCCTCGGATCGCTTAATCCGGCCCGCACCAAAATTTAGGGCTACTCTGCAGGAAAGAGACTGACCCAGCACGTGCTTTCCTTCTTTTTCGCAACTTTTCTTGTGTTGCATTTTGGGAGTGGTAGTCTTCGAAAAGCGAGGCTGCTTTCTGGGAGTAGGCTAAGGAATGGGGATTTTTTTCCCCCCTAGTTAAAATTTTTCCATAGTTCTTAACTGTAACTTGGGAGGGTGGAGCCCTCCTGTAACAGAGAGTGAGCCGTGTACTTTGGACGCTCCACATCCAGGCTGTTTGTCAAGTGATTGAAAAACATGGGTCACGTAATTGGGGAAGGCAAGACTAGATCTTGGGAAAAATCCCAAATCAGAGCAATCCTAGTTTAACAGATGGAGAGAAGCCACCTGGCGCGGGGCAGGGCGTTCATCTCCACCAATAAGGAGATATTCCCGTAGACATTATGGGGGGAATCCTAACCTAGGGTCCTTGAACTTTTTTATTGATAACTGTGCCATTTTAATAATAGCTATTTCCATATAATCGGTTTCCATTGTTTATAGTATGGATTTTATTTTAGGTATTCAAAAACAATAATACCGACCAACATTTCTATAGTTCTTACTATGTGCTGAGTACTATGCTAAGCGGTTTAGGATTACTATCTCGTAGGATCCTCACCACATCCCGGAGAGGTTCAAAGTGCTGTTACAATTACCCAATTATCCTCTCATTCAACCCGGGGAGGTGTTATGCCCTTTACGGCGATCACCTACTTCAATTTGGAGAGATGCTAATCGATTTTACAATTATTATTTCATACCCCTGGAGTTGCTAAGCGCTGGAAGAGGATTATCCCTTCCGAGCCTCTCTACTCGGAGGTGCTATTATCATCTACATTTTACCGTCGAGGAAACTAAGGCAAACAGGTGAAGTGACTTGCCCAGAGTTACACAGCTAGTAGGTGTCTGAGACTGCATTTGAACTCGGATCTTTAAGACTCCTCGGGAGCTCTATCCACTTTGCCACCCCGCTGCCCCTGTCAAGATCCATAGACTTCACTACATTGTCGGAGAGGTGGGAAAATGTCGAGGAGCTTCCATTAGGTGCTACAGGAATTCAGTGAAGAGAGCGTTCCCAATGGGGTAGGTCAGCGCAAGTAGTGGGGGTGGTTTCCAAAGTCCTTGAGCAGCAGAAAAGACTGTTAAAGAGACAGTATATATACATGTTAGGGGTTATTAATATTTCTTCCTAAGAGCCTTTTTTTTTAAGCAATAGTAACCATTGAAGAGTTAAACCAAGAGCTGCTGCAACAATCTTCCTAAAGAACAAGTCTGATTATGTTCTCCCCTTGCTCAGAAAACTTCTGAGGACCCTTTTTGTCCCTACGATAGAATAGAATCTCCTATCTTTGGCGTTCAAAGCCCTTTGCAAATTGTCTCCAACCTGCCCTTCCACGCCTAAATCACATGCCCCACGTTCCAAACAAACTGACCTACTTGCCCATCCTGCTGCTGTGATTTGGAAGAGGTTGTTTTTCGTGTCTGAAATACACTAAATAGTGTATTGGATGGATGGATGGATTGGATTGGATGGATGGATGGACCTGGAGTCAGGAAGGCCTGAGTTCAAATCCAGCCTCAGAGTCACAGTAGCTGTATGAGTCTAGGCAAGCAAATGTTTGCCTCAGTTCCCTCTTTTCTAAAGTGGAGATAATAATAGCATTTACCTCCCAGAGTTGTTGTAAGGATCAAATGAGATAATATTTGTAAAGCAAATCTTAAGGTGCTATGTAAATGCTAGCTATTATTATTATTATGTATTCCCTTATTTTTAATTATTGTAATTTATTTTATGCATTTTATTATTATGTACTTTCCACATTTATAAATCTTGCTTCCTTTCAATACTCAGTTTAGGTGCCACCTTTCATGAGAATCTTTTCCTCATGTCTCCCTTCTACTCCCCAGCTGTTAGTTCTGTCTCCCTCCTCCAGGGATCATGCATATGTGGAGTTAGAGGACCTAGGTTTGAATCCTGCCTTGGATACTTACTGGATGTGTGATCTTGGGAAAGTTAACCTTAATAACCTTTGGTGTTCCCCAAGGCTCTGTCTTGGGTTGGGTTCTATTCTCTTCTCTGGAGATAGTATCTAGCCTGACAATCTCATCTGTTCCCTAGGATTCAATTATCGTAACTATGCAGATGAGTCTCAGATTTGTTCATTCCTAACATTTTTCCAGACCTCCAGTCTCACATTGGAGATCTTAAATTGGATAGCCCAAAGGCATCTTCAAATCAACATTTCCAAAACTATCATTCCCTCCCACCAAAACCTTCTCTCTTACTAACTTTCTATCCTTTCCAGGAGAGGATACTGCCATCCTCCCAAGACACCCTCTCTTTCCCTCCACATCCAATCTGTTGCCAAAGTCTCCCATTCTGCAAGAAACCTTCCCCAGTTCTCCTTAATCATAGTTGCCTTCCCTCTGAGATTACCTGTTTATCCTGCGTATATTTAGCTTTGACACAGTTGTTTGCATATTGTCGCTCCTTTGCCAGCATCCCCTCCCTGCACTGGACTATGAGCTCCTTGAGAGCAGGAACTGGTTTTTGCTTTTCTTTATATTTCCAGCATTTTGCACAACACCTAGCAACAGTAAGCATTTGATAAAAAGCTATTTGAGTGACTAGTTAATTAGGCAGGTGTGTGGCACAGCAGATAGAAGACTGGGCCTGGAGTCCGGAAGACCTAAGTTCTAATCATTTCAAAGACACATACTGGCAGTGTGACTCTGGGCAAGTAACTTCACTTCTCTTCGCCTCAGTTTCATCAGCTGTAAAATGGGGATAATAACAGCACCCACCTTTCAGGGTTGTTGCAAGAATTAAAGATTATAATTGTAAAATATTTAGCCCAGTACCCAGCACACAGTAGGCAATTTCTAAATGCTTATTCCTTTCCCTTCCCCCCTGAGACATTATAAAATGAGAGGATTGACCAGATGACTCCTAAGAGTCCTTTTACTTCTAAATCTGTTTCCAAGATCCTTGATGTTACGCACCATGTCTTCAATCTTCTCTGCTTGATGAACCGGGACAGTGTCTTGCACCTTTTTTTTTTTGGCTTGATTTGGAATTTCGCTAGTGGAGGGACAATTCATTGGTAATTAATCATTTCATAGAGTTGCCTAGAGGCATTGAGAGGTGAATCTTCAATCTTGCATTTATTAAGAACCAGGGGATACAGAGACAAAATCAATTAACATCCTAAAAAATTTACATTGTAAAGCTGAAACCAAAAACACACAAATCAGTGGGTTGCTTGTTGATTTATTAAGCATGGTATCCTTGGGCTACAAAGAAAAGTCCCTGCCCTCTGGGAGTTTGCTTTCCATTGCTAGTGCACACAAAGCCTGAGCTATCTTTGATGGGGGATGGACTGAAGGCTGAGGGAACCAGAAAGGCCTCCTGAAGTAGTTGGCTGAGATGTCAAAGAAGCTAGAGAATGCTCAAGGCAATAGTAGGGGAGAGAATACATTTCAGGCTTGAGGTGGCTTGAGGCACAAAAATGAGACCTAGAGGGTCACATGTGAGAAATACCAGAATTGTAGAGTGTGTGGAAAATAACTGTATATTAAGACCACAAGGGTCAGGTAGGGGGACCATGTTGGGAAATAGGTAAAAACAAATAAAAATACTCTGTTGATTATATCCTACTTGTTTGTAAAAAGTTGTTGGCCTGTCTCCTCCATTAGATTGTGAGTTCCTCGCGGGCATGGACTGTCTTTTACCTTCTTGTATCCCCAGTGCTTAGCACAGGTCCTGGCATATAGTAGGTGCTTCTTGTTGTTGGATCATTTCAGTCATGTGCGACTCTTCATGACTCCATTTTGGGGGTTTTCTTGACAAAGATACTGCAGGTGGTTTGCTATTTCCTTCTCCAGCTCATTTTACAGATGAGAAACTGAGGCAAACAGGGTTCAGTGACTTGCCCAGGGTCACACAGTTAGTAGACATCTGTGTCCGGATTTGAACTCATGAACATGACTCTTCCTGACTCCAGGCCTGGCTCTCTATCCACTGTGCTACTTAGGTGCTTAGTAAATGTTTATTGACTGATTGACTAACAAGGGTGGCCAGGTAATACCTCATGTAGAAGTTAGTGCTGGAAATTGGGACAGCAAGGAATAGTTTACCTGCCATATCTATGGAGAAGGGAAGAATTTATGACCAAACAAGAGATAGAGATCATTACTAGATGTAAAATGGACAGTTTTGATTATATTAAATTGAAAAAGTTTTGCACAAACAAAACAAGGCAACCAAGATGAAAAAGAAAGTAGAAAGCTGAGAAACGATTTTTACAGTAAGCAACCCTGATAAAGGCCCCATTTCTCAAGTGTATGGGGAACTGAGTCAAATTAATAAGAATGCAAGTCATTCCCCAGTTGACAGATGGTCAAAGAATATGAGCAGGCAGTTTCCAGATGAAGAAATCAAAGCTATTATATAAATATATATGTATATATAAATATAAGGTCATATTGTTGACGTTTAGGAGTTTAGGGGTGCTGGGACCCCGAAATATCGAGAGCAAGAGACACAGGTCCTTCCTGAATGAATTCAACCCAAGCCTTCTTTCAGCCAAAGACAAGGTTTATTAAAGATTTGCCATATTGGCCACACTCTTAAAGAATCCATGCATTTGTATCACCAGTGCAAGTGGGCCAGATTTTAAGAATCTGAGCTCCTTAATGGAGACAAGACAAGATGAATCTTATATACAGAAAGACTGTGGGAGGGATCCAGGAGTGGCCAAGTATTCTGGGGTGACTGGAGGAGGGGTCTAAAAAGGATCTGGATGGGAGTGGCCAGGAAGCTGGGGTGAACAGAACGCTAGGGATCTGGACCATGTGGCCAAGGGAAAATGGATTCTAGATAGGACTAAGGGTGGGAAGTGGCCAGGGGCAATTGGGAGGTTGCAGAACAGAACTGGGAGTTTGGGCATAGCCACAAAGAAAGGTCAGTTGAGTGGATTACAGCCTTAGGGA